AGGGCCTGAAAGGGTTTTCATTAGTTTCAACAGGGTTCTCGTTCTTTTCCTTGCTGTTATAATCGCTCTCATAGCTTTTATCACCAAAACTGTTCTCTTTTGCTAATTTCTCATTCATTTCAGCCAACAATCAAAGTCGAATTCTCATTCTATCAAATACATTCTATAATTGATCATTTGATTGTCGAACATTGTTAAGCAGTAATATTTTATTGCTGCATTGTTGATTTCGGCTGCCAACACTCGTCAACGTATTGAGTAAATAGTATATGCTACAGAATGAGAAGTTGATTCGAACTGTGAAGTGAAATGAGACGAAACGAATGAGAAAAAGTCATGAAGAGAACGGTATTCGCATGAAATAGCTATGAGAGTGAATACAACACGTCCGAAAAGAATGAGAATTCATGTAAATCATTTGCAATGAGCGTGACACAGACAATAGCTTTTCATGCAATCATAATCGATCTCATGATCGTCAAAAGGGTAATGGAACACCCGAACGTGAGAATCACCGTGAGAATGACTTATACAAAACAATTGCTCTGCTGACGATCAAGTGCTTAGAAATGGCAGCAATTATCTGTTTCCACATATAGTCGTGGTTCCAGTAAAACTCTGCAAAAATGAATGATTAGCTCCAAAATTGAGGATTTCCCATCAGGAACACATATGCTTTTTTCTCGGCTAAAGTCATATCCTATCCGATAAACGGCAAAAATTATAATTTTCCGATAAAAACTGAGCGTTTTAGTGACCTGAAAATGACATCTCGAAGAATTTAGCTATTAAAATTTATTTGAAAGCATTCTGAGGCTGGGGGAAGTGTTAGCGTTAGATTAGTTATGTTTCAAGCGCAGTAGTTGATCAGTATCATCATAGTTCAATGGATAATGCAGATTCAGATGGATTCAGTGCGCGATTTGACATACCAATGCTTGGAACGATGGACAGAAAGACTGGATAAGGATGAGTATCGCCTGTTTTGGTACAATTTTACTTCTATTCAGCTTTATGTGATGAATATTTGCATCGAATGATAAGATGAACATACCGCATTGTGACTACAGAGAATTATCGTTATTCCCATCAGCCTCATTATTTTTTAAACATAAATAAGTTTTTCTATTATAAATGAAGTATCGCTGTCATCAGTTCGCTCAAGTAACTATTACAGGGAAGGTAATTATTACGACAGTGATGTTCATGATTATGCAGAACTGACCAATGACACATTGAAAATACTCGTGAGCAAATGCATCAACGTACTGATTAAACTCGATGTTAAAAAGCACACGAAAGTCGCCGTATACCTGCCGGCTTTGATTCAGTTACCTGTCATCACATTGGCTGCGCATCGAATTGGGGCTAAATTACTTATAACTGTTTGTTATTCTCAGTATCAGTGCAATCACCAGTCGTGACATCCTCATTGTTTTCATTATTATTATTATTGTTTATAAGTTTCAAATCTGAATGCCGTATGTCAAATTCGTCAGAGAATAATATCATCCATGGTTACAAATTTAGAAATGCTGAAAAATGGCTTCAAAACAATATTTTGATGCATCTTTAATCATAGACTTCATAAAAAGCATGAGTTCCTCTAATAATAACATTGGAAACTTCATTAAACTTCACCATAAATCAGAGCGCAATTGATGAAGATGCTGAACAACTCGGCGCTCTACTCAAAGAGTTTGATCCGGAGATAATCATCACTGTCGATGGATTTTGGTGTGGCAGTAAATTGAAACAGTCGAAATGCATTATCGATAAAGCACTCTCATGTTATCAAAGTGTTAGAAACCTTTGTTGATCTTTTCGAGATTCTCGGCACTTTTAATCAAAAATATTTCTGTAATGACATCTATCAAGTATTTAGAATTCGCCCACTTCTAGCCACGTTTGAATTACTCATTATGAGGTAGAGACATAATTAAATTAGGATCAATAGGATGAAATTCATACCAATTATACTCTATTTTTAATTGGTGCCGATTAAGAATTGATCTAATTGCTGATCTCAGTAACATAGGATTGAAGTGAACTAATCAAGGAAATATCTGCTATTTTTGAAGGGATGACAATCTAAATTAACCTCTTAAAAAACGAAATAATTTGAAATTTCACAAGCAACTTACGTGATTCTATGAATAGACCGTATCTGATGATGGATGAAGATATATTCAAACGAATACTTGCAGAGTTGCCGGCATGTAATTGTCATAAGACATGTAACACCAAATGAAGGTGTTCCACCTCCTCAGAAACACTTCACCGCAAAACGGCCGTATTATCTGTATAAAGTTAGTTATATTCAATCACCTTCTTGATTCTGAATTAGCATTACACAATTTCACAAGTACTACTTCAATGGAATCATATACTTCTTTAAAAAACCTCTGTTTGTTAAAACACCAATCTTATTATGGTTTCCAGGATATTATGTTAAATTCGTTTTCAAACGAATAGCATCTTCACGATAGGTTTAGATGATATTTGTAATTCCACAAAGATGTGGGAGAATTTTCAGATAAGTATGGAGGAAGGCAGAGATTTGTGGTGGAGTGATCTCTTCGCGAATGTACAATCATCATCGTCATCATTATCGTTGAATGATTGTGAATTAATTGGGGAGATAAGTGCAAAAACTGATATTATGTATCAAGCCAAATGGTTCGTTTCGAAAATGTTACTCGTTTGAATTCAGGACGTTTCAACTGTCAGACTGACTCGGAACGGAGCTGATGTCTCGCTCGAGCTGATGACTCTGTTCAGCTCTTTACTCATCTCACAGTTACTAAAGCTTTATGCACTGATCACTACGTACATGTTGATCTACCATTGATGTGCAGTCAGTGTCTGCCTCATGAATGAACCATGCAAAAAAGAATGAGACGAAAAAGCGACAGTTCACACAGAGATTGAGAAATACTACAAAATGGAACGCATTTTTTCATGAAGAATGAGATTGAAGTGGAGAAGTCGTTGAAAAGAATGAGAACGAATAGAGAACATTTAAAAAGAATGAGAAATATTAAGCGAGTACATAAAATTGGTGCACTATCGCAGAATATTCGTAAGGTACCCAAAAACTTCGAGATATAAGCCAGGTGATATAAATCAGTTAAGCTGGTTAAAATCGAGATTCTGTCTGGCAAATTAGGATCAGTATCTAAATTCAGTGCTTCGAATCTCTGGTTTGTTTGAGGAATGAAGATGGGCAATTATCAGTGATCGGAATCACGCATCATCAGCTGGAGGACAAGATCAAGCGATTAGCAAAACTGATTGATGCGAGTGGGATGTGTTTCGTGATGAATTCACAGGATCCATTCACAGCTACCATCGCAATGCTTGCAACTCTCTATTCATCCGCACAACTTCTCATTGTGATTCCTTTTGAATTTTGAAATTTAAAATTGTTTTTTGGTCTCAGAATTCTATCAACGATCGCGATACTCGAATGTCGATTTCTTGAATTTCGGTTTTCTCCAGGAGTGATTTTAGTAAGTGTCATCTCGTCAGCTGTCATCTTCACAGAGCATAGAGCATTATGGTACGACTGAAGATAAATTTTGAAAATAATCATGAAAAATCGTTGTGAATCTCAGAGGAGATTTCAGTTTACGATGAGCATGATACTTTCTTCTCAAAATGCTGTTGCTTTCAGTTCGAAGGCGTTTCGTCGTATCCGGATTATTCACGCATTTCGCAGATTATCAATAAATATCAGGTGTGAATTTCACGCATTTTCCAGTTGCTCTTTCATTTCACTTGTATGTATGCAGATGTAGTGCATTCTCGTAGTCGTCTCACAGTGAGTGTAGTCAATATGCTAATGGTGCAGTGAATGTCGAAATTTGTTTATTTAGTGGATCATGATATATTCAACCAGATTCATTTTCCGTCAACGGACTTTGCAGATCAGTTCGACGCGAAATTCAAATAGCCATAGTTCGAAAACTCAGAATTCAAATTCTGAACTTTCACAGACGTTTTAAAAGTTTCAGTTGGACTGTTGAAGGCCTTAAAGACTAGATTTCAGAGCTGACCAAACTGTAACTGTATGCGTTAATTTGTAAGAATCCTTCCCGTTACGATATCGCCATTCTCCATTAAACGCTGAATCCCTCTACTCCACCTGAACATTAAATTCAATCATACATATCTATTGAACTTTCCTATCGAACGATTCATACCATCATCTACCTGATACTTGCATACTTCAGATTCAAACGCTCATAATCGCCAACAACGATCTGCAGGATGTGTTGAACAACGATGAATACGCAAAAATGTGGAACACTGAAACCTTATCGAAACTCATTGTTTTCGGTGATAAAGACACGGCCAATCGTGCTGGCAAACTCTTTGGCGTCCAGTCTGAATCCATTTCCCTCTCGCCCGAATAACACCATACATGCGAAACTGTCTCGTTAATGCTTTTCAGCCTTTTGCTAGATTCCTTAAAATCTTTTTAAACGTCCCAACATTTAACACCGGCTTTACATTCCATTTAGAACTTCAACTTTCACTCTGCTTGGAAATGCATATTTACTTTTTTTTTTACTTCGCAGTGATGTGACGATGCATAAGTTGTGTTTATTTATTCACATTAAACTATTGAAATTATTTTCTGTTCAGTGAGTTATGTTTGAGTGATTACAGTGTACTGACTGATATTTGAATTGGATGAATTATAAAGATAAGTGCGGTGTTCAGTGTAGCTTTTGCAACAACA